GCTTGATGAAGTGCTATATGAACAGATTAAAATTTCATATTTAAAAAGCTATAGAATTATCTAACTTTCGGAGGCAAATATGTTACGATAACTAAAATTAAATTTATTTGGTGAGATTACCTTTACAACCGTTAGGCATTTTTATGATAATCGCATAAAAGAACTCATCCATTACGTAATTGTGAGAAGAAATCATTAAACTTTTCAATTATTATTGAGATCACTTCGGACGTCATCTTCATTCTTCTTATTGATATAGTTTTTACATACCGATCTCTTTCCATTTCTTTATGCTTGTTTACTTTTAACACAACAGTTTAATTAATATTTTCCAACAGTTTAATAGTAATTCGCTTTATGAGCAAAAAAAAAAAAAGAAAAAAAAAACAGACAAGAGGAACAAGAGGACGTTCAGCTATGTACTGTGCCCCCCGTGTAAAAAGAAAACATGACAAATTTTTACAAGTTCGAAACTTACAAGCTTGTTCGAGTCCATTTAAGATGTATACCGCCTACGACCCTATAAAAATTGTCAGCTAAAATCTATTTCAATTTAATCTGTATTACGGCGCGAAATCTAAATAAAAGCGAATCGTCCATGAATCACAGATTCGCTTCGAACGTACGAAAAACGTCGATCTCGATTTTCGTTGACTCTGGCCACGATAGTAGACTCTCTTAAAGAGTATAGCATACTAAAAAAAAAAAAAAAAAAAAAAAACCTTAGATAGACAATTGCAATGTTTTATAAGTTCATAGTAGAAATAATTTAATTTAATGATTTTTTTTTTTTCGTCACTATTTATTAAAAGTAATTCACATTTGTTGAATGACTAATATATGCGAACAACATATATTCTCAAGATCAAAATAAAAGTTAATTTGGAAGCGTTAAAGTTGGAAAATTTTTTCAAAAAATTGGCATTTATCTCAACTTGTTGTCGTTGAATTTGTCGAATAAATCAAATCAACGATGAATATCTTAGACTTAGTGATACTTATATATATCGTTGCTCTGCTGTATGCATACAATTTAAATGAATATAACAAATTTTGAAAATTCAAATGAAAAAAATTGAGTTTCTCAATTTGAACATTTTGATGGTAATGGTAGTGTAAGTACTTGCGTACTTAGTCTATGATGAAAAGGCAAACCAAATGATATGAGGCATAACTCGATCACCTAAAAAGGACTGCTTCATTAGTTAAATGCCTTAACAATCTAGCAGACAACTTTTCATGTTCACATTTAAAAGCAGGTGAAAATCATGCATATTACGTCAAGCGAGTATGAAAAAATTTGCAAAACATTTCGTTAATTAAAGACGTGCCAGTTAGATTGTTTGGGATCACTTTTGGGCCAAAGTACTAATATTCTTGACGAATATATGTATGTATGTATGTGAATTTTAAATTAATTTCGCAATTCTTGTTCAGTTATATAAACAAGTTGAACGTGAGTATTATTAGCATTCTCATGGTTGAACACATTTATTTAAAAACTGAAAAGCTGATGGACTCATACCTTTAAATGCCTTCTTTAAAAGCTTTCTTTACGAATCATTCCAAACGCTTTATAAAATTTTATAAATTCTCTCGTTCTCTCCAGTTTTCTCGCTTCGTTTCTCGTCCTCTCCGGTTTTTTAAGAATTTTCATAAAATGCAAATAAAAATATGCATGGAATAAGAGATATATAAATATATTCATACGAAATGTAAATAAAAGTCAGCCTGCAAAGGAGATATATACACATGAACGTATACGAAGGAGTAATAGAAGGTTTGGTTAAGGAGCATAAGTTGAAGCTTTTTATACAGAATACTTCACACTTGAAATAAGACTAACATGTAGATGCATGCACGAGCAGATCAGTGAATATGTGGGTGTGTTTTACTTTTTCACAGTGAGTGCCTGCCTAAATCATTTGCATTTCATGTAAATTCAATTTACAAAATACACACTCATATATTGCGAACAAAAAAAAAAAAAAAAAAAAAAACGTTAAAACAGCAAAAAAAAAAAATAAAAATAAATAAATAAATAAATAATAATAATATTAATTTATTCTTGTAAAATATTTCATTCTTAAACTTAATCTGTTCGTATCGCGAACAGTTTTACAAATTAAATAGAAAGTCTACAGTTCCGGTTAGTTTCGGAAGGGAAAAGCCATTAGCTATAATAATGCCCATGTCATTAGAAATTAATAGCTAAAGTTATACACATATATATGAAAAATATTCAAGACTTGATCTTCCAAAGTACCAATTGTGGCCAATTTCATTATTCTTTTGAATAATTTTCGTTTCGATTGAACTTAGGAAAGTGTTCCGCTATTGAAACGATGATTTCAGTGAGCGAAGCGATGAGAGATCATATCACATTTCTTCTTAATTTTTACGAAACTCATAGCTAAAAATAATTATTATTAAATTTGCCCGATGAGTAAAAAAGTTCCCCTTGAACGAATTAATTAAAAGGGAATAACAAACTGAAGGATTAACAGATATTTTGATTAACAACGAATTATATAATTATTTCGAATTCGTATCTAAATGTCGTGCAGACATTTTTTTTTTAATAGTGCTTATTAAAAAAATGCACTCTTAACTTCTCGTTTAGCAATACGTTGTAACTGCACTGAATTTACACTACTGAGAACATCTTTATAAAGCAAAGTTAACGGAAAGGAGAGGTCAAGTCTAATTAGGACAAGGGGAGAATCTTTTTTAAATATTTGTTAAATTCTTCAAGTTCAATGGCCGTGTGATAACTGCCTGCAGAACTGTAAAAACTTTTTACGTTGAAATCAATGCATAACTAAATCTTTTTGATAATATCGAACTTTTTTCAAGCCTAACTAGCCGTGAATAAGTAGACTTGGCATGGACTCGCTTGATAAGTCAAAAAACAAACAAAAAAAAAAAAAAATAGGGAAAAACTTTTATTAGAAGCACATATGTAAACATCGAATACATTTATGATTAGATCAGTTTTACATACACAAAATTTTATCAAATTATCAATTCTTTTATATTCGTTTCGCCTCAGAGGACTAACATTCACCTCTAATCGCGGCACGTGTTACGAATTTGTAATCAATGGGGTCCTTTTTTTCTATTTTGCACGCATGCATACACACACACACACACACACACACACATCGTACGTATTACACATGTATGTTTTGACTTTTGTAAATTAAGTTATTATCTGTATTGCGACTATCCATATACTTTTCATACGAAAGAAGGACTTACGTGTACTAAGCGTTCATTCTACACAATACCGCATAAGCTAACGCTAATTTCAACATTAGTCTTCTCATAAAGTTGGAAAGAGTGTATATAAGCATACATAAGCACACATACGGTAGGATATATGTATGTATAGAAATATGAATGCGATAGGTAAGAAAGCATCGATAGCCGTATATGGTGGCAATGCGGGCCTGGACCCCGCTAAAAATCTCTTACACTTCAATTCCCTATATTGAGGGACAATTGCTTACGTATACCGATTTCTATTTTTTCAAATCGTGCATGATATCAACAAATCCGACGGTCCTTTCGCTACTCCTTCAATTACAAGATGTTTCTTGCATTTTCTGGCTAATTCGCGCAGAAATTTTCTACATCTACAACAGCTGGCCACAATATTTAGCAAGTTATAAGGTAATTTGAGTTTTTAGATGCCAACGACAACATGTTGCCAGTTAGCGGATTTAATAATCTTTTTTGCATCCAATATTACTACAAGGCAGTATTCTTTATTCCGACCTTTCCTAAGCTACTTCTAAAGCTGTAACGCCATAATTTGGTGTTACATTTGGTGTTTTCATTTTCCAACAAGAATTTGCTCTCTGAGATAGCCTACTGAACAAAAATAGAGATAAAGATGCCATATGAACGTAAATCTGTCTTGCGATTGCACTTACTTCCCTAATTAATGTTCATTTTACATTCCGCATATCCCACCTAGTGATTATGTACTGGAACGCAGCTGACTGAGGAAGGAGCGCTAGGTTGTGAGAAGATCGGCTGAGATGTGGGTATCATTTTATCCATTATTATGTTACAGACCACTTCTCAAGGATCACGATTTAGGGAAGTCATGCAATGGGTTGACACTAACCTTATAAATTCTGCTCTACTACTCATGTATCGCCCACGTCAATGGTATAGTCTAGGAAGTTCTGCCTATCAGTCATTGTAAGACAAAGTCATTCCTGGCGTCGCAGATAACGGGATGCTGCTATCACCAGCTCTGTACCCGGTCATTTCTGAACTGTTTCTGATACGCCATAATCAACAATTTATCAGTCACGATCTTGACGCCTGTCGATAGGCTTCACTTAGGTATACCTTCATTTTTGGCTTTCTTCAATATGCTTCCGGCAAACATCTCTATCACTTTTCGTTTTTTCACATCATGCAGCATCCTTATCACGCCACTGCTCAGGAAAAAGGAACTTTCCAATTTCCGGAGTGTAGTCTCTGTCATTCGTCTTAGTATTTCGGGTAGATAGAGAACACAAGTTTAACGTCTTCCATGCATGTGCATAAACTACAAAGTAAATGCTACTTTATCTTAAACCTATATAGATGCGATCAAAAATCATGAATGCTTATTGGCGTCTTATTTGTCTTATTCATATTCGAAAAATTCAGTGAATTCACAAGAGATGGTTGGTTAGAAAATATTCAACGTGAATGCGAAGTTCCCTCATCGATAAATTTTGGTTAGACGTAGTCACTTGCTTGCTCTCACGCCCGGCATGTGCATTGCTTAGTTAGTATCTTTTTTCAATTTTGACAATCGATAATTTTTCTGTTTAACTTACGTACAATGTTCAACTGAAGTTGAACATTTGAACAGTAAGAAACCCTATAGACGAATTCTGGGCACTTGCCACCGATCTATTAATTGTTGGCGCTATAGACAGCGTACAAAAATTATTTCATTCACTTTTCGTTAGATGCTTATTAACCGAAACACATAGCAGCCATTATAAAGTCGCCGCATGAACTATTATTATTATATATATCGTTTATCCAATTCACAATATTCGCAAACTTGTAAATCGCATAAAACATTTCCGTCTTTTCCTGCTTCGTCCGCTTTACCTACTGTATAATGACTAGCGTATATATAATCACTTTCCGAAATTGACTACTTGACGTTTTGAACAACATGTAAATAAAAATGCATACTTTAGTTATATATATATAATGTTGTGTATGAATGTTGTTGAAGCGAACGTTGTTGAACCAACAAAAGTACGACTCCTAATAAAGGAAAACAATATAAATTCAAGTAAGTAATCTACAGCGTAAATACTTTTAAACTTTCGACCTGGATTAAAGCTACAAAAAAAATATCCAAACGCGATAATTCGCATATTCACTTTTTCTAGAATTGGTGTGAAATCAACCACAACGGGCAATGTCGCAGACTGAAGGAAATGATATATGCGCCATAGGTTTTGATGAGAAGGTATTGCCGGCGAGAGTAGCGTGCGGTCGTTTACTTTGCTATAAATGCTTAAAAATTATGAAATGTCACCCCGCCCAGTGAACTACTACGTGATCTACTCGCTGCCTTAAATGCCGCTTGCTCCTAAAAGAGGAAAATCGAGATGTTTATTAAAATGACAAAATCACGTTTAAGAAGAAAAGAAATACCCAAGTAAAATCGAAACTCCTGATACCACACGTACTACGCCCCTCATTCCTATGGCCCCTTATCCTCAGCTTCTAAACTGAAGCGTCTACGGCAATGAGAAATATGTTTCATATCAGCGAAATGATAGGCTTAACCCAGAAGAGATCCAAAAGAAGTGAAGGACATTTGCGATACAATTTTGAATTATGGATCCTACTATTATTATGAGAAAGAAGACAATAGTGAACCTGTCGAAAATAGTAAGATAAACGATCGAGAGGGCACCGCAAGCGCTAATCAAATCAATCAACAGACAATAGTTTTACTGATAATGGATCCCAAAACACAGTGATAATAGTCCATCGATAAGAGCAATTTATCTTAAATTATTAAGCCCTCTCAGGCTGCATATAATATGTAAGAATTATCTTTTTTCCAAATTAAAGATATTGATCGCCACTATTACATATTGTTACGAAAATCCCAAATCCAGTTAATGTCAGCTAAGTAATTTTCGTAATAATGATTTCCCTAAAGAGGGAAAAACCAAATGAGCATTTGCAGGCGCCTCATGCAGCTGCAGGCCGATTAAAACAATTAGAGGAAAAGCAGGCTGGGATTAGAAATAAAATCATAAATTTAGGTATAGTAACATGCTTGTAAAATTGTATATAAATAACCTATTTGTGGAAGGGAGAATTAGTCGGCCAAGAACATTTAAGCTGAGAGTACGGCCAAAATAAATTGTGAATAATTCTAATGTTAAGAAATAGAATTGTAAATAAATACTTCTACTGTCGTGAAAGACAAAGTAATAAAGTAAAAGAACTTTGAAATGTATTTCTCTTGATCGAAATATCCAGGATCTAGTGATACGAACTGTATCTAGTAAAAGCGAATTTCTGAACAATATATTATAATGGTCTCAATAACATTTCTTCGATTTGATTCTAATATAAGTCTATACGATTTTTACATCGATCTTGCCATTACAATGTCGTCTGTTCCTTGCCTCACAAATGACATTAAAAAGGGAATAAAATATTAATTATTGTATCATTTTTTTTAATATTCATATATTATAATATTATAATAAAAATTTCGTTTACAATAAATATACAAAAATGAAGATAGATTTTACTAAAATGTACGTAGTACAAACATGATGCGACTTTGGAATCAGCTAATAATGAAATTGTGTTGGTTAATAAATTGTTTCGTGTAACCTTTCACATTGCTTCCTAAACATAAATAAATGTGTAAGCAATTTAAATGCGTTTGTTCGAATTGTGGTTGATGTGTGTGTGTGTTGCCGATCATCATATTCAACTCGAATTGCACTTTTACGTCACATCGCTACACAATATTTCTCATTTGATGAGCATTGTAAATAAATATTCATTTTCATTAATCATCCCGATTAAACGATCAAAACAAATCGATGCATTCGTTCATATTTGGCAACTAAAAGCTTTATGTGTATCGCGTTGCGGCGAAACCGATACGTGGCTCAAGACTTGAAAGATGAGAAACAGAGAAATGAAAAATAAACATTTAAATATTTCTTAAATTATTTCACCTAACCTTTTGCGTATGCAAGGGATATTAAAAGTGAGCTTTTTATAGCGTAAAGAAGTAAAATGAGAAGAAAATAAATGCGATTAGGAAGAAAAATGTTTCTACTCCTTACTACAAAGATAATAGATTACATTCTAATACTTATAGATGTTTTTTTTTTTTTTTTTTTTTTAAACTGACTTGATGAGATCTATGCTTTATGAAATTCTTTGAGGCAGGCCTCACAATTGCAAGGAGTCCTCAGCTCTTGTCTGACGGCCAACAAATACTTAGAGACGATGTCCTCTATCATATACTGTACGTATATTCATCACTTTCGTAATTCTTAGTCATCCTAACAATGTTTTAAGGAAACAGGATAACATAACATAACGCATAATTATGTTGTGTTTTCTCTTCGTCATTTCTTTCCTTTCCTTTTTTGAGAACGTATTAGCTAAACTTTTTTCATGTAATAATACACCTGTGCATCCCAACTGTCAATTTCAGTTCTCTTATCAAACCCATATCATAGTCGCCCAACGTTTATTTACCGCACTATGTAATCGGTTTCCCTTCACCAGCAGTAACATTTAGATGAAAAAGAGGAAGTTTTCATTCCATTCTACCCTAGAACCTAGAACGTTCCCAAAGTCCAGCTTAATTAACAAGTCATTTACTTATATTACAAGCTTCAAGGTTGAATTTGCTACTTAAAAACTGGGAAAGTTTATCAGGCCTTGATCGACTGGATGTGATAAATCACTTAAGTATTCATCAGTCTTGTGTTGTTATTTACTTGTGACTGCGCAAAGAGATATTAAAACGGTATGTTTTTGTTTGTATTTGTGAAGGTATCCCTAGAAAACTATTTTTATGCTTATATTTCTTGGATTTAGATAAGCAGCCACAAAAGTCTGACAAAATTTCACATAAATTACCGTTACGTTTAAACAGTTAACATGATGTTAGTTTAGTGGCGCAAAAAAGTTACTTGCAAAAAAACAAAAAAAAATTTAACCGAACTATTGATGACCCAGCTACTGCATATAAAAAATACATATAAAAAAACAAAAACACTAGGACACGGCCCACTATTAACTTCGCTTAGCACAGGTATTCATATAACGACCTTTCAAAATAAAGTGTCTTATGAGAAGCGATCGAAAACGTGGACCGGGATGAATCATTTTGATCGATAGGATTCGTCGTTGGGTTAAAGCCCGTCGTAAAAAACTTTTCAAAATATGTCAAAAAGAGCGACCCTTAGGTTGAACAAGAGAAAGCAAGACGGACACACGGACAGACAAGCTTAAATCGATTCAAAATTATTATTATTTAGAACCGGTCGGTATAATAACAGTTGGGTCTACCTCAAGTCCTTTTTGGGTGTTGCACACATCTGCTAGAAATTTAATATAATTTTGTGGCAAAAGTGGTGTATGTTATAAAAACACTTAAATAAAAGATGCTTCACGTGGATGGCTCTGCCGTTACCATTTTTCAAAAGGTATTTTTATATCGTACATCACTTGTGATAGATTAAGCTTGCACGGACCTATGTAATAGGCAGCAGCGTTTAAGATCGACCAGAAACTTATTCCGAATCGATCTAACCCTGTCTGTCCATCTATCCGTTTAATGTCTTTCAATGTAAATTTGTGTTCAAACTAATGGTCGCAATTTTTGGAGATATTTTGATGAAATTTGGTATATTGACATGTTTTGACCTAAGGCCGAACACTATTGCAAACAGTTTGGTTCGGTTCACTTTTTGGACTACTTCCCATATAAAGTCGTTATATGAAAAAAATTGCCAGCTTTCAAAATTTCTCGACCAAAATGATTGAGTAACGGTACTTCAACATTCTACACTGATATGAAAACTTCGGACCGTCTCGGGAAATTTTTTCAACTACCTCTCATATAACGAAAACTAAAGTTCATATGACAAAGAGATCTAATTTTCAATGCTTCATGATGAAAATCAAATCATAATAGTGATTCAAGATAAAAAAATTAACTCTACAAAATTTGAACTATCTCTATCTATTTTTTGGATCCTAGCCTAGCCGAGCGGGTTTTTAAGAAAACTTTGTTTTTTTGGACAGAAAAATTGAAATTTTAATTATGTTATGATGAAAGTTGATCCATAATAGTAATATTTATTATAAAAATTAACCATATTAAATTTTGAATACATACCACAATTTGTGAATCTCTTGGACACAACCATTTTTAAGGAAAGTTAGCAAAACGGTTTAATTTTTAGTATACAGTTTGATAATAGTAGTAGCTTCATATAAGAATAGGGTATAAATTTAGTGTTCTATGGCAACAATAAGAATTGTGTTCAACAATATGGTGTAGGGTATTTAATAGTGGCCTAGCCTGACTTGCTTTCAATGCTTAATTCGTTCTATTGCGTTTCGCTCCATCACAAAATCGTACTTTTAAGTTGTAACAGTGGTTTCTCCCCTTAAATTGCCTCAATTGATTATGATTTCGAACCGATCACTCGATTGATTCGTCCGTAAAAAGGTGAAATTTTTGAATCCTAGTATACGGTATACGACAAATAGCATAACGGGGAAAATCATTATGTGATCAGAGATCTATCACAAAAGAGATGGATTTGAATTGATTCCGGATGTCATATGATGAAATTACATTTTAGATAATCTGGAAATGGAATGATTAAACGATGATTTTTAACGCTTTCTAGCGTATTTTATATTGCGCTTGTAAAAGTATTTAGTAAAATTTAGTGTAATATATAATAATTTTACCAACGCAAAAATAAATATATTTAATTGTAATATTTTATTGGTTACTTGTTCGATAGCCCAGATTTCTGCAAAACTATGCAGACAATTGATTATCGTACTCATGAGGACCGCATAAAAGGCATATAATTTAATTACGCAATCAAACAAGCGTTAACAATTCCCTTTGTTGTTTATGTTGTGACTTGGCGAGAATTAACAGAGGACCGAGCAGGGTTAAATAGCAGGGGTGTGCGTTCAAATTGTATACGCACACATAAATATACCCAACCTACCTCCCATCCACCCACTCTGTTTAACTTCAAACAATGTATGCAACCCTCCAATTTTTTATTTAATTTTCTACTGTATGATTCCCTTTTTTTTTTTTCTTTTCTTTTTTCTCTGTTTTTCAGCTATACAAACGTGTAGATCTTTTTTTACAATCGTCAGCAGTCTCTTTTCATTTAGTTAAATACAAAGACACAAGCTTGCGAGCTTACATATAAATTATGTTGTACGTACATATTGTGTGCTCTGGAATTGTGTCATAATCAGATTATCAAATGCTTGCAAAAGTCATTGATGCACTCTACAATGGTTCGGCTAAACCGGAAACTTTAGTGCGAGCGAATACGAGCCTCCTCTCAACCCTTAGAAATGTGTTACAATTCTAACGAATTCAACATTTATTCAACTTTTTCTTTTTTTTTTTTTGCTTTGTTAAGAAACTTATATTACGCTTGGAAAAATTTCACAGTAAAACCGCTAAGGAAAATACATTCTACTAAAACAACTTTAGCAAATAAATTACTGGCATCAGGAAATAATGCAAAGACAATTGATCCCGTTTTTTAAAAACAATATCAAAACTTCTGTGCAAAAGTATACATGTTTTACATATACTACTAAAAGGAATTCCGTTAGCAGGCATATGAAATAAATGAT